CCGACTTTGTTTCTTTTCCTCACAGAGTTGTTTGGAGACAGGAGGTTCCTCAGAAGATTTGTGTGTTCTTGTGGATCGTGTTCCAGAAGAAAATTCTCACTCAGGATGCACTCAAACGGAGAGGATGGGCTCTTCCAAGTCGATGTGTGCTGTGTGGCGAACAGGAGGAGTCGATCGATCATCTTTTCCTCCTCTGCAGTTTCTCGAAAGACATTTGGCGGATTCTTTCAGCCTTCGTTGAGCTTAAGATTCCTGCAGTTGACATTTCAGACCTGATTAGAAGATGGCCATCTGCGAATCCGGTCACTCCTAAAGGGTAGTGTTCCCTGATTTTCCTCCATGCTTTCTGTTGGCGCATTTGGTTAGAGCGTAATTCCAGGATTTTCAGAGATGAGGGGGTGTCCGTCCATGTTGTCGCCTATCGGATTGCCCGCTGCATTGCTGATTGGCTGAGCGCTGCCCAGATTGTTGACAGGGAGATTGCTAGTTCCTGGATGCGCGTCGTTAAGGCTCGTCTGTGTCCTGGACGTGTTGTTGAGCCTGCCCTGCCCAGTGATGCGGTGGATCTTGATGTCTTTGGCGCCCCTCCTGCCCCTGCTGCTGATGATCAGTCCCTTACTGCCGGCTGAAGTTTGTCGCTCCGTTGTGGCTCTGTTTTGCTTTGTGGTTTGGCTAAGTGTGGGTTTTTGTTTGATACTCTCCCAACCCTCGGTTGGCGTCGATCCTCGGTTGCGGCCTGCGCGTCGCTGTCTAGTTTTATTTTGCTGTTCGCGGCATGGCACGGGTTTGTTTGTTTCCTTTTCGCGGTCCGTGTCTGCCGTTTGATGCTCTTTTTTTCATCGGTTTGTTCCTGTGCTTTGTTTTTCTTTTGTTTTGGTTTAATCAATCTATCTCACCATTATCAAAAAAAAAAAAAACATCCAGGCTGCTGTATTTGGAGAGTTTTCGGGTCTAGTCCCCTCCAGGGCCGATTTGTATGAGATAGGAGAAGGTTGTTGTGTATCGCCAGTCAGAGGGAGATGATTTGCTATTGGAGACGCTTGCTTCTGCACTGGGTCCGGCGGTCGGCCTAGCGCCGCTGAATTGATCGCTGCCGAAGAGGGCAGAGGTTCGGGAGTTGAGAGCATTTTTCCACTCAACAGTTGCCAATACAAACGCTGAATTAATAGAACCGTTGTTAATATATAAGTTTCCAGGGTTTTGGTAACCGTCGCAAAACCATATCCAAATGGCAGTAAATCCCCTTATCAAACGATGCCAATGAAGACCAATTAAATAGCCACTAAAACCGCTTCTTAGACATGCACCGGCGGTTTTGCTTACCGCTGGGGTAACTTTGCGGCAGTCGCCCTTGTGGCGGTTTCGCGGGGGTTATTGGAACCGCTTGCGGGGTTGCTAGCGGCAGTTTTATTCGCTGCTAATTGTTAAAAAACCCTGCGATAAGTTGTTTATTTTGTAGTGACAGTCGGTGATCACCGTCGGCGGTGAAAATCCTAAGCCATAATTCGAATTCTTCTCACCTAAGTGTCCTTGTCAAAGACCGTCAACAGTCATGGAGCTCGACGGACCACCGTTGATAAAGCTCGCCTAGCCGTCCTTGGAGCTTATCGACTATAATCGACGTTGGAATTCAGAGAAAGAGGGTTTTCTTTGTATGTAAAAAGAAAACGGAGGATGGAACGATCATGCGGAGGTGGGTAAAAAATTTTTATTTTCAATTGGGGAGTGGTTAAATTAGGTTGGGGTAATTTGGTCACTTAGGATATATTTATGCTGATTGGATGCTCCGTCAGCACCTAATCAGCAACGTAGGACCCATTTTAATGGAATTTTAACCGCAGAGTAACGGAAGGGATTTGCTTAGGAAAAATTAAATAAATTAGGGACTACCATAGGAAAGTTAATAGTTTAGGGGCCTCAATAGGAAACACAGTATAGTTCAAGGGCCACATAGTCATTTAACTCCTTTAAAATACATTATATTTTAGACACTAAGATATAAAATAATAACATAATTTGTGTTATGATAGAGAAAATAGCTTGTTTTAGGATGACAAACCGATGATGTTCATTTGTTTTACTTGATGGCCAAATCCCGTATAGGTCAGACCCATTCAGTTCTTTTATTTTATGGTTAGCGGTTAGTCCATTAGAATCCATGCATTAGTTTATTGTTAAATATTTTCTTTTTAACAATAAAAAGAAGTATTGTTTTTGTCTTTTCATATATATCTTACCAACACTGAGAAATAAAAGGACTTAAAGAAACCTGTTCTGTTTTCGTGGGCCACAACAATTCCTAGGCTCGTTTAAGTTGGCCCGTTCCACAGAGGAAAGAGAAAAAAAATTGACACTTCCTATTGTACCCTTCCTACAAACGCTTCTGGAGCATGGAATTTGAAATAGGGAAAATGTTTTTTCTTTCCTGCTATTATATTATGCGTAAATTGACCGTGTTAACACCCTAACCCAACCCAAAAATTTCACCTCCTCGTAATAGGCATAAGATTTGTCATATAATTACCACGACTTAAGCAACTTCTTAATTTTTTTTACCCAAGTACCTGAACCTACTCCCGGTGAACCAGGAAAATGACACTAAACGACAATTTTGTAGCTAGTTTAAAATTTTCACATCCTCAAGTGGAGACAGATGGGCTCCCAATTCCCACGATGGGGAAAAAAACATGTGTTTCAAAAAGCTCCAACATGTATGGAAGGAAGACGAACGGTAGGAAATTCACTCCTTGCCCACATCACCTACTTAATTCCCTAATTTATGAGGCGACAATGGGCTCAAGATAGGGTGCATAACCATGGGTTATGCACCCATCAATAACCAAATCTGGACCCTTCATTTAGAAAATCCAGATCTAAGGATGGAGAATTAAAGACTATTTTTATTTTCACTAGCTTTCTTAATTGACTCATATCTTTTTCGTTTTAACTCGGATTTTAATTTTTTTTGCACAGATGGAACGAGTTCACCGTGCTCTACAAAATGAGATCAATTTTCAATATTTTTTTAGGAAAAAAAAGTTCTGGCCTCTCGGTACCAACTGCATACCATATGATATCTTCTTCGTTTTTTATTCGTTTTTGAAAACGTTTGCACAGCAGGGATGAGTTCATCATGATCTACTGGATCTACAAATTTCTGGGTGAACAAATTATAGGACCAAAAAATACCACACAATACCATACAGTACCACCCTGGTATGGGGTGGTATTGTATGGTATCTTCTTCGTTTTTAATTCGTTTTTGAAAACGTTTGCACAGAAGGGACGAGTTCATCATGATCTATTGGATCTACAAATTTCTGGGTGAACAAATTACAGGACCAAAAAATACCACACAATACCATACAATACCACCCTGGTACGGGGTGGTATTGTGTGGTATACAATGTTAAAAGTTGTAAATTACAATTAATATACTTCTACTATCATGTATTCAACCATCCTACAATATTGGTTTGTTCATACCACCATGGTACGTTTTTCAAAACATAGGTATGCTTTTATTTCAATACTAGTCAATACCATATGGTACAGGCTAGTAAAAAATGGCTCAATTTTTTTTGTTCGAAAATATATTAAAGTGGATATCATTTTGAAGAGTACAATTAATCTGATCTAACTGTGCAAAAAAAATTAAATTTCGACTTAAAATGAGCAAGAAATCGTCCGTCAAAGATTAAAGAGGGAAAAATTAAATGCTTTCCATGAAAGAGAGGATGCTGATGTCATGCTGATGTGGACGGGTTACTCATGGTTACTCACCATAAAGTTACTGACCTGATCCATTCCCGCGACAATGACTCTCTCCTTCCTTTAATGTAATCACACTTAGCAATCCCTACCGGCTACCACCATGCACGAGGCCGTTGGCCGGACATAAATGTTGCCTCATTCCATGTGTTGAATTGCAAATTATTTATGTTCAACAGCGGACAGCCAAAAACGGGTATTGAAAATGAATTCCTAACCTAACTCTGAATACATCGAGCATATGCATTAACCTCATGGACAAGAGACTTAAAATCTAAGATTGCTAGCTAATAGTGAAGTTAGCGTCGTAAACCAGTTGGTCCCAATAATTCAAGTTATTGGTAGTAGTCTATATCATGTGTGGATTTTAACCACATTATACGTTCACTCAAACAAAATCCAACTAATTATGAATTTGAAGTTTACACAGACACGCATCATACCGTGTGCTATAAATGAATAGTCAATATTGGGAGTTCTGATGATTTGAACACATTGACCTCACAATCGAATCGGTTTATATAACATGTCATCATAAACCAACTGGTTCTAATGGTTCAGAGATTGGAAAGCTGGTTGTGGTGGTCTCTAGGCCTCTGCTGGTTGGCGTGGTGATGGTTCTGGGGGGGTCTGCTTTTGTGGGAGGGACTCTTGTTTGTTCTCATGGTTTCTAATTGTCTGGTTGGGCTTGCGGTTTGACTTCTTTTGGCTTTTTCTTTTTCCTTCTTGCCTCTTTTTCTTGGACTTGGCTTGCTTCACCTCTTGTGGGGCGCAACCTTGAGGATTTTTGGTTTTCTCATCTGTTTTTTTTATAATAAAGTTCATCCCATTTATAGAAAGAAAAAACCCCTAAGTTGTTGGAAGAGGCCTACATGATGTGAATGTTAACCATTTCCTTAGAGTAATATTCAATTCAATTACATGAGGGGTTATGATTATATTTCTATTGGCTCACAATATAACCGTGTGAATACCGTTACAATACATATGATAGTCTTTTTTCGTGATTAATAGCATAAATTGTCCCTACATTATTATATTTTCTCAAATTTGTTACTCTATACCTCCAACTTGCCCAACTTGCTCCTCTACCATAATAAATTCTGATAATGTACATTTCCACACTCCCTAACGTCCATATATAAACAATACCCGGGAGCTGCTCCAAATTCACTACTTACACCATCCCTTCTCACACTAAACCTCCATATAATCACAATCGTTCATCCATGGAGTCTCCCAATTATAACTTCGATATCATTACCCTCATAGCTTCACTTCTCTTGCTCTTCTTCGCAGCAGCAGCAGCAAAGAGATCATCCTCCACCACCACCACCACTACAAAACCTCCAAATCTCAAGAACAAGAACCACCACCCACCAGGCCCATGGACACTCCCTCTTTTAGGCAACGTCCACAACCTCATCTTCTCCGCCGCCACGCTCCACCGCGACCTCCACAAGCTATCACTCAAACACGGCCCTCTCTTCCGCCTCAAGTTCGGCCGAATCACCATCGTCGTCGTCTCCACCCCCGAGCTCGCCAGAGAAGTGCTCAAAGACAACGACATAACATTCGCACAGAGAGCTCCTCTAGTCTTCCCCTCCTTCATCTTCTACGACTGCTCCAACGTCCTCTTCGCGGCCTACGGGGCCTACTGGCGCCACGTCCGCAAGACCTGCCAGGTGGCGCTCCTGGGAACGAACCGGGTCAGGTCGTACGCCTCGATCCGGGCCCAGGAGGTCGAGAGTCTGATCGAGTCGGTTCGGTCGAGTTGTGGTCGGACCGTTAACCTGACCAGGTTGGTGTTCGAGCTGAGCTGCGGGGTGACGTCGAGGGCCGCTTTTGGGAGGAAGTATGACGTGGAGGGTTTGATGGCGCTGACGTCGGATATTATGGAGTTGGCGTCGGGGTTGGGAGTGGCTGACATGTTTTCTTGTAATGGGGGAATAATGTTGAAGAAGATGACCAAGTTGTGGAGCCCGAAATTGAATAGGGTGGTTCGTGGGGCGGATAGGGTTCTTGAGGATGTTTTGGATGATCGAAGAGGAGTTGTAGTTTTGATGATGATAGAAGGGAGGATTTGGTTGATGTGCTTCTGAAGCTGCAAAAGAATGGTGACCTTCATGTTTCTCTGACCGACGACAACATTAAAGCGGTCCTCTTGGTAAGAAATTTGGATTTTCATGCATGTTGACTTGACTATATAGACAAAAAAATATGAAATATTAATGAACGATGTCAAAATTGTATTTCGACTTTTGCAGGACATGTTGGTTTCTGGGAGCATGACATCGTCAGCTACGATCGGCTGGATAATGTCCGAAATAGTGAGGGATCCTTCCGTGGTGAAAAGAGTACAGGATGAAGTGAGACGAGTTTTCGATACCAGAGGTGAAGATGTAGATGAAGAGACTGCGATTCAAGATGTTCATTTCTTAAAATGTTGTATCAAGGAGGCCATGAGGCTCCACCCGCCGGTGGGGTTAATCGTGAGGGAAAGTCGCGTGAGCTGCAAGATTTCTGGATACGACATATCGAGCAACACGATAGTTGGAATCAACGCTTGGGCGACTTGTCGGGATCCGAGGTACTGGAGCGATGCGGAAAGGTTTGTTCCGGAGAGATTTAAATTTCTACACGAGAAAAATGTGAGCTATGTCGAGACGGACCGCTTCGAGTTCATCCCGTTTGGAGCGGGGAGGAGGAACTGTCCTGGAGCATCGTTTGCGATGGCCAACATCGAGTTGCCGGTAGCCAAGTTGCTGTACCATTTCGATTGGGAGCTTCCCGACGGGAAGAGAAACCAAGAGCTTGACATGGCTGAGAGCTTTGGTGTGGCTGTTAGAAGGAAAACTGATCTGGTTTTGGTTCCTATCACTCACCATCGTACTTTTACCAAATGAGGAATCAGAATAATCTTATCCACTAAGATAATAATACAAAAAAAAATTCTTCAATTGGCTCAGTTTAAGTGCCATGTTAAACGATGCAGAAAAACATATATTTTGGTATTTGTGATTTGGATTTTCAAATACTAAATCATGTGTTTGGATATTAATTATATTTGGTATTTGGATTTGTGTCAAATTCATGGGGTGATTTCCAAATACTAAATCATGTCTAGTGTATTTTTTGGATATATATATATTAATCATGTGTTTGGATTTGCTTGTCTATCCAAGCATTGAAAATTTAAATGCCGCAAATGTACTACATGAAGAACAGACTTTAAAGTAAAATGAGTGATGAATTAATTATGATGATTTTTAGGATATATTGAACGGCGACGTATGTGATATTAATTTGTTTGGATGATTTACACACTTTAAACTTTTTTTGAAATTCGTAACATGTCGTGGTTCATTATAAACATCAGCAGTAAAGTTTATCTTATGTTTTTTTTTATATCATGCTCACCTTAAGTGAAATCTTAACTAGGCAATTGTATATATTAATTGCTGCCACATATATATATATATATATATATATATATATATATGAAAGTGATATTGGCTTTAATAGTAGTACATAGACTTGTATCACAATTTCACCCGTGAACTATATGATGCTAACAGCTTCTTTAATAATCCTTACGGCCAGACGGCCCACTTGAAAAGAACAGTGGTAGGTTTTCAACTGTACCCAAGTACTGCCAAATTGCTTTTAAGAATGATATTTGCATGTTTTTTTCAATTTTATTTGCTTAATTCATGTTCTAATTAATAGAAACTAATGCTTGATGTAGGTATCAACAGTTTCATTAAAAAAATGGTCGGTACTAACCGAAAATAAGAAAAAAACATAGGTAAAAAAGCATTACGAAGACCATCACTTAGAAAGCTACTACATACTAGGTTTGGGATTCCATGACGTCCGCTTCCATTCGCAATAATAGTTTCAGTTTACATACAATTATTATTCATGCTCTTCCTCGCATGTGTATATCTTTTCCAGGACCCCATGCATCAATCTCTCTCTCTAGTCTCTATATAAGTATCACTTCAGAAGAAACAACATTAGAATTATCGGTACTCACTGTACCTTTTAGATTGTTCGTAAGTAACGGAAGACTCCATTTGAGGGTACATCAATGCACCGATCGAGTCAGTAAGAAACTTCGTGAAGTGGGGGTCGTAATAATCACTTCCAAGCAGTGGAAATAACAAAAAATCCTAAGTATCAAGGGAGTGATAAGGTTCAGAGAGCTCGACTACAGTTTCTCTAAATGTATTTTGAAGTATTGGAAATCAAGGGTGGAGAATCCATGAATGATTACTTTGTACTTGTAATAGTGATCATGACTATATATATATGGCCAATGCTATGAGGAACTGTGGAGCAGCCATGACCAGACGTACAATTGTTCAAATTTTTTGGAGGACACGATCAGAAAATATTGGGAATCAATGGATATTGGTACTCTCTATGTTTATGCCTTGCATAGCTCATTGCTGGTCTATAAGCAAAAAAAAGTTCAAAAATTTAAGCACCCATTTGAGAATGATCAGGTCTTGAAAGCAATCCATGAAGTTGTCATAAGAGCTCATGGTCGAGATAGTTAGGGCTGAGAAGAAGAAGCTCGTCCCATTTGTTGTGCATCGCGATGCGAAATTTCAGGATATGGTACAACAACACGATGGAAAGATCGATACTTCTTGAAAACTAATTTTATAAAATAGTTTCACACTATTCCGACAGGCATTGCTTAATTTTGATCGGACAAGGGTATTAAAGGTCACCATGTCCCAAAGTACTAAATGCCTATGATTAAAACACGATGATCTAGTGCGTATTATATATGGTCTATATCAATGTCTTAATCTCTATCATTGATGGTGATCAGAAAATGCTTTGGTACTTGTAAACATAAAGTAACTCGTGGGTGATGTAATAACACATATTTACACTTATTTGTCACGAAACATGTAGGACAGTATACTTCAGAAAACATAACACATGTAATATGAACTTAAGAGATATAAAACATAACACATGGGTGATGTGACAAACGCGTAGACTTATTTGTCACTAAACATAGTACACAGATAGTTACGAAATCACAACCCATGCATTAATTAATAATAATTAGTATGAAGTTAATTGAAACAGAAATTGATGGGAAAAGACAAGCGCACTAAAGTCAAATGTGTATTAATTTATTTATTTTATTCTTAATTTGCCGGACCTAAGTGATGGCAGGGCTGCAAATGAGCAGAGTCGAGTCGAGTTTTACCCCAGCTTGACCTCGGCTCGTCAATAAACGATTCGAGCACGAACTCAGCTCGTTTATTAACGAGCCAAGTTGAGTCGAGGCCGAGCTAGTTTGTTTACTAAAATCTTGACTTTTACTTGGTACTTCATTTTGTATATCATGATACATATGATTTATTTTGTTAGCTAATCTCATATTATACTTTGTCGGTGTCATATATCATTTAGTTAATAAATTTTAACTACTCCAAATCATGTTATTTCATAGTATCGAAGCACTCTATGATACATAATTTTTTTTTAAATAGAAAATAAGATAAATTTGCTCACATACTCAACGTGCTAAACTTTATATATGGTGAGATATATAAATTAACAACCATATGAATTAAAATCATAAGATATAGATTGATTCGTCCATAAGTCGGTAATCGAGTTGGCTCTCTAGCCACATGTTGAGACATATCATGAGCTCTAAACAAATCAGCTCACGAGTTTAGCTCTACAAGCCACCGAGTCGAGCTAGCTCACGAGCTTCACGAGCTGAACAAATCTTAGCTCATGTTCGGCTCGTTTATTAACGAGCCGAATTTCGAACGAATTTTTCTCGAGTTGAATGCCGAGCCGCTCGCTAGTAGCTCGACTCATTTGCAGTCCTAAATGATGCACATCATAATTAAAATGTAAAAATCAGAAACACTAGAATGCATACTGACACACGTACCATATATCTCTCAAAGCATAATAGGAAATAAAAATACTGACATACCATAAATATATACTAGAATACATGTAAGAAAATCCCTTAAATGTATCATAAACACAAAAAGGCATACGAAAAACTAAAGAGAGAATGTCATATTGTAAAAAGAAAATTTGGCGTCTTTTTACTGTGCATTGCTTATTTGAGGTAAAATACATCGGCTACCACTAAAATATTAAGATTTGTAGGAGCTATACCATTAAAGTAAGAATAGAGTGTCATGTTATTGGGTATCACTAATATCATTGAATTGTGCATTAATTTAAAATTTCGTTCACCTACAGTAAAATATTATTTTGTAGTAAAAGAGTTAAAAATCACATAAAAGAAAAAGGTGAAATTAAAAAAGATTAATTAACCAAACAGAATTAATGTTTCTCCTTAATATAAATATGATGCAACTTAAAGAATAACTCTAAACTTTAGAAAATCTTAACAACCAAAATTCCACCGGCTATGAAAAACAGGCATTATATGCTACTAGTTGTTGACCTGGCCAGTTGGCCGGAACTATCAGTTTGAGAGGCATAACCAAATAACTACATAAAATTGAACACTTTTTTATCCATCTTCGAAGTTACCTTAATTCATGAAATTAAGTTAATGTTTGATCATAAAACTAAATAGATCTAATGAAAATTTTCAACCATTCATTACCATCATAAAAAAAAAACAGACATCAATTTACAGGAAAATATACATTAAATTTAAACTATGTAGTCATATATTTCCAAAATAAAAATAAAAAGACTGTGTAGCCATTATCCACTGAGTGTCTACATATAATACATTAAACTCCAAACCCCAATTCTTTTTTTTTTATAGGAAAACCCCAATTCTTTCAATCTCCAAATAACATAAGAAAACGTATAAAAAAAATAATTATGATAAACATTTCATAAATTATTTGTGTAATTTTCATCAAATTTTGATCCCCATAACCTAAGGAAATATGTCTCTAGTAGCCCATAAATATTTTCTTTCACCCTGTATCATTAACCATATATTCTCATGTCAATAAGAAATTATATAGTTTGCACTCTTTATGCTAAATTATATATTCTCAAACTCTTAATACTAAAGTTTACACTCTGTCATCAGAAGGCTAAAATATGTGAGATGGAGCAATAATTATCCTTAGATTCAACTTAGTAAATGAATTATACTTTGGTAATTTCCTAAGATATAAAAATGGCTAAATATCTTGAATTTGTATTTAGATTTTGAATAATTAATAAAACTTTTCAACCATGCACTTACATCTTAAACTATAAGTCAAACCAAAAGAATTGTTTTTTGAAAAAAACAATCCAATTTTTTTTTAATAACTATTAAGCACATGTTTTTGTACTTTAATATCAAGCTAAAGCAAACGTATTCATTTCTTTATTTCAAAGTTTACCAACACTAACCTAATAGATTAATTCCATTATGTGGTATCAACTAAAATCAACTCTTAAAAATGATATCAACTTTTGTATACATTAAAATAAAAATTATTACAATGTCAATAATATCTTCACATACTTGAAAATACCATGTGCTTTGATGATATGTAAATATATCACCATGATACAAAGGTATATTATGACCATTCAACATTGATACTATGTTGAATGGTATTTTCATAGTATAGTAATGAAAATATCGTAGTATAGTAATGCAAGACACGACGATGACCCCATCATCATTTAGATAAATATAATATTATTAAAATGAATACCATTACATAAATCACATAAAATCAAATTGATGTTTGAAATAAAGAAAATGACCGATAAACATGATAAGAATTAATAAAAAGTTAAAGGAGAACAACATGTGTCATAATATGATAGGATGATTGAAAAAAAAAAAGAAATCATTATTATAATAACAAAATTATCAAACGAAAAAAAGGAGAAGTTGGGTTTCAACCGACAAAATAGG